CGTTCATGGAGTTCATCTGCCCCGACAGCGGGTTCACGCCGCCGCCGTTGCCCATGGCAACGCCCAGGTTCACGCTGCTGCTCCCGTTGTATAAACCTCCCACGGGCTGCTGGGAGAACTGGGACTGGGACTGTTGGGGGTACACACTGGAAGGAAAAACACGGAGTCAAAGAGAGTCTCTTACACACAGTCAGATACTGGTTCACTTCTCCTTGGGATATCAACATATTCAATCAATCAATCAAAGTATTCAATCAATTAATCAATCAGAGACTCCGACACAGGCCTCCTTAAACTATTGTTCAGCTCTGAGATGCTCATTAATGTTCCTGCTACCAGTGTTGTTGGTTTTGTTGCTTGTCTTCCCTGTGTCCTTTTACAGGAGCTCCTGGTTGTATGGTCTGGTTGTCTTTCTTTCTTTTATGTATTTATCTAGCTAGCTAGTTAGTTAGTTAGTTAGTTAGTTAGTTAGTTAGTTAGTTAGTTAGTTAGTTAGTTAGTTAGTTAGTTAGTCAGTCATAATGCTGAACAGGACAAGGTGGAAGAGCAGGCCACCTGTTGCTGGTGGAGATGTTGGCGGCCTGCCCCCAGCCGTTGGGGTCTGCGCCCGGCTGGTAGCTGGGGGGCCCCCCCTGGTTGGCGGCCGGGGGGTGGCCCTGGTTCTGGTTCTGGTTCTGGTTCTGCTGACCCTGGCCCATCCTGGGGGACAGCAGGGGGCTCTGGGGGGTGGCGGCCCCACAGGGGAAGCAGGACGCCGGGTCCTGGTGGTGCTGCTGTTGGCTCATCCCTGGGGGGGAAAAACGCGGCGGACGTCAGGGGGAAAACCTAAAAGCTGAGCCTGGGATTTCTACTTCGCTCTTATTCCGCACTGCTAGCGATCACAGAGGTCGAATCAGCACAGGGTTTTGATTGGTTGACCCCCTTAAAATCACCCCTAAGTAGACATTCGGACTTCGTTCATTCGATTGTAAAAGTAGAAAAAAGCGCGGGACAACCACTGAATATAGAGGTTTTTTACGTTTTTCAACGAGAGTGGCTTGGGGACGATCTGCTAAAGCTTGTCCGTAAATATCAGCTTCTAGACAGAGTATGTAGTAACAAATTGACCCTCTAGGGGGCAGTGCCACTTTTGATGGGAGATGAGCATAGACTGTAGGCAAATAAGAAAAAGGTAACGGTTCTATGAGAGAACATGTCGCCGGTGAGACGCAAGTCCAGGAAGAACGGAATAAGGTAGAAACACATTTTTTTTCCTGATGAAAGAAGAGAGTCTACTCTTTCTTTTGGTGTGTTCGGTGTTTACATAGTCATAGCACAAACTATTCTGTGCCTCTTGAAAAATCAGTCAAAATGCTCAAAAAACTCTGGCAGTGTGGGACTCTCTTTTTCTGAAAATGGCTGGCAGTCAATGAGTTAAGAGAAGAAAAAAAAAGGGCAGGCCGGTACCGTAGCTGGAGGCCGGGTAGGGGAACTGCTGGGGGGGGCGGGGGTTGGCCCCCCCCACCGGAACGGGGGTGGGGGCCGCCCCGCCGCTCGGCATGCTGGGAGGAAGGCCGACGCCCTGGGCCCTCATCATCATGGCCCTCTGCTGCTGCTGGTGCTGGTGCTGGTGCACGTGATGCTGCTGGTGCACGTGATGTTGCTGCTGGTGCACGTGCACGTTATGAGCGTGCACGTTATGAGCGTGCACGTGATGCTGGCGCTGGCGCAGGTGGTTGCTGAGGTACTCCCGCTGCCGCTGGGCCAACATCTGGGCGTTCAGGGTTCCCTGTTGGGGCATAAGAACGGACTCAGGTATCTGAGGATGTCCGACCCCGCCCACGTCCAAGTCGGCCATTTTGATTAGGTCACCGATAGGCAAGAAGATCGTAATTGCTTCATGGCAATATAGACATTAATTTAAAAATGGTGAAATGAATCTTGCAAACACTGAATTAAACTCTATACATAACATTATGTTAAAATAGTGGATGTTAAATAGGTTTGTACAATAAGTCCAAACAAGTTTAACCAAAAAATATTTATTTCTCACAATTATGAAGGGTTAGGGTTAGGGTTAGGGTTAGGATAAGGGTCAGGTTTAGGATTAGGGTTAGGTTTAGGGTCAGGTTAGGGTTAGGTTTAGGGTCAGGTTAGGTTTAGGTTTAGGTTTAAGGTCAGGGTTAGGGTTAGGGTTAGGGTTAGGGTCAGGGTTAGGGTCAGGATTAGGGTCAGGGTTAGGTTTAGGGTCAGGGTTAGGTTTAGGAATAGGGCCACTTCAGGGTTAGGTTTAGGGTCAGGGTCAGGTTTAGGGTTAGGGTTAGGGTCAGGGTTAGGTTTAGGGTTAGGGTCAGGTTTAGGGTTAGGACATCGTTTATCTTCCGATTTCGTATCGACAGTAAAGTTTCGTTTCCACCTCAGAGAGCTGCTAGTCACATGACCTAATCAAAATGGCCGACTTGGATGTGGGCTCCACCCCGGGAAGAGAGAAAAAAAAAAAGAAAAAAACCCACCTGGGTTGGTACGTTGGACCGGAGAGGTAGATTCATGGAGGAGACTCCGCCCATCTGGTTTCCCATTGGCTGACGGTTCTAAACCACAAACAGCCCAAAGTTCAGACACACAACATGGATCTTTTTTAACCTGTTTTTAAAATCTTTAAATTGTGCACAGAGGGGCGTCTTTCTCACCCCTCGGGGAACATAAACTTAATTAATTTTCTCTTTTGATAATGCTAAAATCAGAAGAGGTTTGCTTTTGGGAAAGCTGATAAAAAGATAAATGTTTATAAATTGGTATTTTAAAACTGACTGAACGGCAGCAAATTGTTGTTTTGGGAAACTCCTCATTGAAAGCTTCTCATCGAAAATATTTGCTATTTCACATCTTTGAAATGAATAAAAATGGTGATAAAAACACTCCTTTAGCACCCCATAATGATACAATATATTAAATTAAAAACTATTTAAACACTGATCAATTCTTATTTATTAATTATTTGATTTTTCTTTATTTCTGTTGATAAAAACAGGCTATCAGGTGGATTTCGAGGTGGCGTTTTGATGCTTTTGACCATAAAAATGGGTTTATAACTGGCCTATTTCTTCATCTCATGGAGCCACAATTCAAATAAACTCCTTCTTTGTTATTTCAGCTTTGCACATGTGAATTATTCCTTCAAACTCCGGCTTTTCCTCAACAATCCACCAG